AAAAAAAAGGAATTTTTTCTAAATGACATATTTTGTTTTTGTGTTGTTTTTAGAGTCTTTCATTGCTAGTCCCACTTTAACCCTTACAAGGTGAAAAAAAATTGTGTTTTCTTCCAGTAAATTAGTGCTTGAAACAATAAAACAGAAATATACAATAGTACTATCTAGACTTCAATATCTCAAACTTGATGGTACAGATATCCTTGGATTTGAGTTACTGAGGTTAAAACACATAAAGAAAAGGTGGTTGAGATTTCTCACTAAGAAATATCCATGGTATTCAAGATACCAGAATTCAACATACCAAAGTTGAACTCTACAGATTAATTTTGAAATTATATATATTTTTTTTTTACAGGGTTATCCCTACCTGGTTTGGATAGAAACTTCACAATGAGTGGTACAGTGAATGAAGAGGACCAGTACATGTGTGCATGTCAGCCAGCCTTCAACTGTATCCCAAATAAAAATTACTGTAACACCTCCAGGGGGGCAGGGGTGAGTACTAATATAGACTTCTAACGTATCCCTAATAAAAATTACTATAATACCTCCAGGGGGCAGGGGCGAGTACTATAGCCTTCTAGTGTATCCCTAATAAAAATTACTATAATACCTCCAGGGGGCAGGGGTGAGTACTATAGCCTTCTAATGTATCCCTAATAAAAATTACTATAATACCTCCAGGGGGCAGGGGTGAGTACTATAGCCTTCTAATGTATCCATAATATACAGTTATGGAATAGGTAGGAGGGAAATAGCAAATTTATGGTTCCCCAAGGGAGGAAACTATTTCCTGAGGCAGCGAAGCTGATTTTGAGGGAAATAGTTTCCTGCTGAGGGGAACCATAAATTTGATATTTCCTGAGTACCCATTCCATAACTGTTTTATTATACCGAAACAATCAATGGAGATTTATTAAAATAGAGACTCAGACAATTTTTAGCTCACCTTAATGAAGTTGGGGGAGCTTATGTAATACCCTCGGTGTTGGTGTTGGCGTCGGCGTCCAAGGTTAAGGTTTTTGGAGCAGTTTTCTTTTCAAGTACTTCTATGGCCTATATTAGTCAGAGATGCATGGAGGATGCTTCTAGTGTGTTTCATTGTACCAGTCAAGGTTTCAGATGCTGCAATTTCAGCTAAAGAATGACCAGGTTAATGTTTTTGGAGCAGGTTAAAGTTTTTGGAGCAGGTTAAAGTTTTTGGAGCAGGTCTCATTTCCAATTAACTATAAGCCCTATATTGACCGAACTTGCATGGATGATACATCTAAGGATGCACACTACTGAACTTGCTTCGGATGCTGGATCTGACCTACATTTTCTGGATGAGTAACCAGGTTAAAGTTTTTGGAGCAGATGTCATTTCCAAGTATCTATAAACCCTATATTGACCAAACTTGCATGGATGATACATATAAGGATGTACACTGGTGGACTTGCTTCGGATGCTGGATCTGACCTACATTTTCTGGATGAGTAACCAGGTTAAAGTTTTTGGAGCAGATCTCATTTCCAAGTAACTATAAACCCTATATTGACTAAACTTGCAAGGATGATACATCTAAGGATGCACACTACTGAACTTGCTTCAGATGCTGGATCTGACCTACATTTTCCAGATGAGTGACTAGGTTAAAGTTTTTGGAGTTGATCTTATTTCCAAGTAACTATAAGCCCTATATTGACCAAACTTGCATGGTTGATACATCTAAGGATGCACACTACTGGGCTTGCTTCGGATGCTGGATCTGACCTATATTTTCCGGATGAGTGACTAGGTTAAAGTTTTTGGAGTAGATCTCATTTCCAAGTAACTATAAGCCCTATATTGACCAAACTTGCATGGATGATACATCTAAGGATGCACACTACTGAGCTTGCTTCAGATGCTGGATCTGACCTATATTTTCTGGATGAGTGACCAGGTTAAAGTTTTTGGAGTAGATCTCATTTCCAAGTAACTGTAAGCTCTATATTGACTAAACTTGCAAGGATGATACATCAAGGGACGAACAATCTCAAACTTGCCATGGATGCTGGATTTGACTTACATTTTCTGGATGAGTGATTAGTTTTAAGTTTTCAGATAAGTTGATTCCCAAGTAACTGCAAGCCCTATCAGACCAAAATTGCATAAATGTTGCATCTAGGGATGCACAGTCCTAGATTATTAGTTTAATGTGGGACTTTGCCTTACTTAAAGACAACATTCGTTGAGGTGAGCTCTGTAATCTCTGATTATACCTATGTTTAAAGCAATATAGAGGCATTTAAATAATCACAAATGCATGTGATTAAAAATATTGTAAGATAACTAATGCATCAATATCGAGGAAAATAAAATTATTTTAAAAAATATGAAATAATTTCACTGACACTTCAAAGGATTATCGTTGTCTTCATTTTTCTAGAATTCCACTATGATTTCGACATGGCATGTCGAAATGTTTTGACATCATAGTTACATTGCTAATAATATTACATCACAGACTCGAGAATACTTGAACGCTCCACGGCCTCCACCCACTGCTCATTTTAATTCTTAATAAACATTCATGAGAGAGTAGTCCCAAGGAGTAGCTCTGATTTTTCAGGGAGTAGTCCTCCGATGAGGGAAATAGTATCTTCTCAGGGAAATAGACAGTTTTATGGTATTAATTTTATATAGAGTAATAACAGTAGAGGTATAATAATAAAAATTACTGTAACACCTCCAGGGGGCAGGAGGGAGTACTACTGCCCTTATTAAGATTACTTTATCCTGGGCGGGGGCTTTAACTGTATCCACAACAATACCGGGGGCATGGTTAATTTCAAGCTTACTAATTCATGTGTTAGAATGTTTCAGTATCTAACTTCAACTGATCACACTCAGTAAGAAGTATATTAGGCCAAAAAAAATAATAGTCTTGTTTCCTGCTACTCGACCTACCCTATTTTTTTGCACCCGACCCTAAAGTTTTTTTTTAAGTTTTGGAAGAAAAAAAATTGAGAATTTCCGGAATTCCATCGTTCTGTCAACGTAATTGTTTTCCTTGTTAACACAAAACAAGCATTTCATGAAATTCTTGTTTTAAATATGGACTTTCATAAAATACCACTTGAGTTGTGCATAGAAAGACAATATTGACCTGTGACATGTTTGATTTTATCTTTTATTAGTTCAAATCCAAAAAATGTTGTCGGAAAAAAAATAAAAATATAAAATAAAATAATTTTCCTACCTACCTACCCTATTTTTTTCAGGCTGGTAGCAGGAAACAAGACTTTTTTTTTTTGGCCTTAGCGAGGTTAGCAAAAAATAAAAGGTAGCCAATAGTTGGGCACCAGTAAATAATGAAGGTAGATGGATGTATTGTGAACATTCCTGTCAGTAAATTATCTGTAATTTAATCAAGTATTTACTGACATGAGTTTTGATGTCCCAACTGACCATTAGAAAATAAAATTATATCTGTTACTGCTAACAGACATCAACTCCGGCTTTAGGACCAGGCATATCTGATTCCAAAACACACTATGTATTGTCAAGAGTAGATGGAAGTTTGATCAATCCTACAGCAGATTCTTGAATTTTAGGTTTGTATCTATTTGACTGTCTTGATGGTGATTTTGATGGACATATGCCCTTTTTTCTAGTGTTTTGCCCTGAATGGGGAGGATGGTATTCGTAAAGGTTGTGGGGCAGACAAGGAGAAGCACCTGCTAAACTGTCAAGGGAGGAGGAATGTGGTATGGAGACCAGATTCAGGAGGTCCAAACCTTGTGGTCAAGTGCTGTGCCTATAATCTCTGTAATGTAGACGTTGAAGACTTGACACTACCACCCAAAGGTATAACTTGTTCGGCATCTCTGTTATAATTTTTACAATCTAGTTATAATTTTTACAGTCCATGTGTGACATCAATCTTTTGTTTGAACGCTCCACTTTTGCTTGGATATGGAGAGTTGCAAACAATTCAGATTGAGAAAATGTTTTATATATATATATATACATGTATATACGAACAATTTTGAAAGGATTGATATAATGAGTTTTTCAAACTATCTAGTAATCTACTTAAAACGTACATTAATTTTGAATTTTGATGATTATGTTTGTAGTAGTGGCAGAGGAGACAACTTTTAACATGAACATGTTAATGGCTGTACTGGTTCCAATTGGAGTCTTGATTGTAGCCGTGGTAATCGTGGTCCTTGTATTCCGACACCTCCAGAAACGGCAACCCGGAAGTCAAGAGAGCCCGAGAGTGAGGGAGGAACTTCTGCCGCAGGAGTATGGGGGAATCAGGGTTACACAGGTTGGAGACAGTACTCTGCAGGTAAGGGAGATCACTCAATTAGAATTAACAGGTAAACTTTTAAAGTGAAGACAGCTTAAAAGGAAAGAAAATAAAAGTTGACAAATTTATAACATTTCATGGATTGAAGAATTTGATCAAAAGAGAGAAAAATGTCTTTGGAGAATATTGTAGATGAAAGGGCAAAATAAATGATTAAAGTGCATAAATAATACCTTTATCAACTCTTTACCTGTATATTTTATCATTCTTGTCACCAATGTAGCCATTTTACACATGAAAAAAGATGAAAATTCTTAACTTCCTGTGCAGACAAATTATCATTGATAGGTTTATTGAATGATACTGAGTTTTTATTTCTTAAAGAGTGTAAAGCTATGAAATGTAATAAAAACTATAAAATGTAATAAAAACATCTTATATAAGAATTACCTTTATAGGAACTGATTGACGAGTCTTGCACATCTGGGAGTGGATCTGGTCTTCCTTTTCTGGTCCAGGCAACTGTGGCAAGGAGTATTTCTCTCATAGAATGTATTGGTAAGACTAATAGTGTAGAAAGAAACTCCTTGTTGTCATAGATTATTTTGATGCAATGTTATAATGATATCTACTTCATACAAATTTGTCAACAACTCAAACAATTCAGAACATTTGATAGGTTTAAATACAGGTAATGTGGCTAAATTCTGGCAGTGGCATGTTTGTTTTTCCCCAGGGCAGCTTGTTAGTTTGATTGTGTTTATGTTGCATGTATCATGTATGTATCACCTCAAATAATGCAAAATGAACTGAAAACTAATAATTCATATAAATTGCTAGACAAAGCCAAAAAATTAAATATAAACCATTATTTTTATATATTGTAACATTTGAGAGAAGCCACCACCGAAAATTTAAAGTTTGGCAGTATTTGAAGCAGAGATTTCATATATGTATGATAACAGCTGTGTAAGATACACCTGATACATGTATATGGTTGATACAAAAAATATGTTGAATTTCAATATTTCAATTTTACAAATTTCTTGTATTGATGAATGCTTGTCATTACTGATATTTACCTGATTTTACACAGGTAAAGGACGCTATGGGTCAGTATGGCGAGGGAGATACCATGATGAGAATTTAGCTGTGAAGATCTTTTCATCCAGAGATGAAGCCAGCTGGTTACGAGAAACCGAGATATACAACACCTGTCTGCTCCGACACGAGGGAATTCTGGGATATTATGCCTCTGATATGACCAGTCGGAATTCTTGTACTCAGCTTTGGTTAATCATGCATTACCATGAAAATGGTTCACTTTACGACTACCTCCAATCCACAACTTTAGATTGGGAGGAAATGTTACGTCTTTGTCACTCCGCAGCTGCAGGTCTTGTGCACCTTCACACGGAGATTGTTGGAAACCAGGGTAAAGCTGCCATTGCTCACAGAGACATAAAATCAAAGAATATTTTGGTGAAGGGCAATGGTACTTGCTGTATTGGAGATTTAGGACTTGCTGTGACACATACTCAAGAGAACAATAAGATAGACTTGGGTCGTAATAATAAAGTAGGCACTAAGCGGTACATGGCCCCAGAGCTTCTTGATGAAACCTTGAATCCTGAGTACTTTGAGGCTTTCAAACAGGTGGATGTGTATGCATTTGGCCTTGTCATTTGGGAGGTGGCAAGGAGATGTGTTACAGAAGGTACGAAAAGCTATGAGGAATTGATACTTGTAGATTGCACTAACATGATTTCTATACTTATGAATTGAGTTACTGCTATCCTACAATTCTGTCACTGCTCTTGGGTAAACAAGCAAGCTACAAAGAACCCTATTTTTGCCACTGAAACAGAGGATATTTATAGTTTTACTTCTTTTTCTATACTTTTTTTTCTTTTTTCACAGGTATGGTTGATGACTATAAACCACCATTTTGGGATGTGGTACCCTCTGATCCTTCATTTGACGATATGAAGAAAGTTGTCGTCATTGATCAACAACGACCAGCAATTCCCAACAGATGGTCCTCAGACACTGTATGTTGTTTATTCTTAGTCATAATAAGATAATATTTTTAGATTATGACAATGCATTTTTAAATTTGAAACACCCTTAGTACAAAGGACTACTTTGAAGGGTCATTTTGTTGAAATTTATTGTTAAAAGATTAGTAAGTGGGTTGCATGGGTTATACTGAATCAGGGATCTGAATATGACATAAAAACAGCAAGCACATTTACATATGAAATAGAGACTTGTTTAATCTTGTTTTATTGCTTTGCTTCAGATTTTACTCCAGATGAGTAAATTGATTCAGGAATGTTGGATGTGTAACCCAAAAGCCAGACTCACTAGTCTTAGGATTAAAAAGACAATTAACCAACTGCTCAATCAGCCTCAGTGCAAAAAGATCAAGGACACAAACAAATGCTGAAGGTCACTGTCAAGTACTGAGCTCTGATTGGATGCCTGCCATAAGTGTGTCTGATTCAGTTCCTCTCATCTGAAATGATCATTGGGTTGCTGTAGACAGATAAACTAGAACCTGAATTGAACAGATCAAGTGTGAAAAATTTTATATTTTGTTTGCAGAAGAATCAGGTATAATTGTTATTGTTTATTGGGATATTTTAATTTTTAGGTGAATAATGAACTATAAAAGAATTCATCATTTTTAAGGGCAGTGCATTTAAATGTATATAGGGTGCAAGTTAAAGTTTTCAAAATTTATGTAAAAAGAAATAAAAGTTTTCAAAAGCATTTTAGCATAAATATCAGTATCAAATAATTGTAAGAAATGTGTTTTAGCCATGGTTGTTAATGGATAATACAATGTACACCTGTTATTCATGTCAGTAAGGAACACAGTGTACAGTTCTTTTGAGGTCTGGCAGGCCAGAGCGCTATTGAATATATTATACATTCCAGGGAAATCATGGTGGGAGTGTAGATTATAATTGTTAAAGTCAAATAGCTGCATGCTCTCTGCTTTGTATGATGCATGGTCCATATGAAGATTATTGGATGGGTAGTTTCATAAAGAAATAACTGTCTGAGAAAAATGTGTACCTGAGGTTTTCTTTTCATGTTTTATTATTATCTGAGTGTGAGATTGTATGTTCTTCAATTAAAGGACTTGTCGCATGATCTTTCAAAAATCGTAATTTTATGAAAAATATTATCTACAACCTTGTTTATT